TGCTATTATTTTATGTGCATTTATTTGTAACGATGAAAAAAGAGATCTAAAAGATTATTCGCCAGAACGTTCAAGATTAGTAACTGCTATGGGAGGTTGGTGGTTCATTATTTCAAGTGCTGTAGCTATTGGAAATACGTTTATGTATATTCAATGTGAAAGTGATGAATTGGGACAAGCTCCAACTATTAGTCACTATTTTTCATTCTGGTTTGGAGCTATATGGGACTTATTTGATAGTATAATTTATTGCTTACTTAATTAATTTGACGATATTCATAAATGATAACTATATTATTATTGACTCACTTGTAGTTCTCTTTCATGACTTTTATTTATATATTTTTTGTAGTGACTAAAGGTTATTTAAATATACTAAATTGTAGTCGGTCCATACCTTTATTTGTTTTATTTTATTTTTATCTATTTCATTTTACTTATTTTATTTTATTATTATTTATGGATATATGCTGCAAGTGGGAACTGGATCTAGTTTAATTATATTTCATGGTGGAGTTTATTTTATATAAACCATATACCCAACCCTAAATGTCCAAATCTATTTAAATCCCATCTTCACTTACAACATATGAAATTGAAATTTGTTGTTAGTTTGTTATAATTTATTTTATTTATTTATTTAATTTATGTTTCTTTGCAAATTTAATTATGACCTGTTCTGCAAGACCTCAACTAAAGGCGCAAGGTTTTTTCACAAATAAAAAAAAAGATTTTAAGCGATGACTTTTTATTCTTGTTATTCATGAAAATTATTCTTAATCGAAGAAGATTCAAATTTAATCATATAGACTTTCAATCGTTTTAAAATGATTAACTAATGAATATATGTATATGTGTGTTCTTTATACTGAATAATTATTGTCGGGATGATGCTGAAATTTGAGGTCTTAATTTGAAAATATGAACTCTACTAGAATCACCTATGCTCTTTATTATAAACACTAAATTATAATCGAACGATTAAAAAAAGCTAAACAAAACACCCAAAAAATTTTTAAATTTTCATAATAAAATAAGTCAAAATTTCAGCATCATCCGATTCAGCACCATCACTGACAATTATTCGAAATTAATAAAATCTTATATAAATAATTTTGATTCTGAGTAAAAAAAAAACTTTTAACTGGGGATTTAATTAGAGTTGCGATATTTTAGAGTATTGATTTAACCTTAATACATAGTTTTATTGTATCGTTAATACTACAGTATAAGTTTCATTGATGAAAAAGCGAATAATGCATGCTAGCAAATCAATAAATAGGAGCAGTTTTAAAAAAAACTATTTAAGATTTCTTGTGACGTATACCATATTCGGTTGGCCTCCCTTGTATTGCATTATTTCAATATTTTACTTACTTTATGTCAAAGGTGGTTTATTGTTAAGGCGAGACAAACTTGATTTGGTGGTTTACATTACATTCCTTTTTCAAAAAGGGGATGAATGGAACGTATACATAGTAAATTTTATTAAATTTTTTTTTCAATCGAAATTATCGGCCTTGCTCGGCTTTTTATGTTTGTTTTTTCATTTTCTCTTCGGAATTTTTCGGATCCTTACAATTTCTAATCTTAATTCCACCCGGCGGCCAAAATCAAATATGTATAGTACAAAATTTTTTTTTACTAAGAGAAAGAGGGGGGGCTCAAAAGGGGGCAATATAAACTACCAAATCAAATTGGTCTGGCCTTACCATTGGTGGGAATGCAAATTTTTACTAAATCACCAGGTTCGTATGTTTGGTTTCGTTTTGTATAATACTTTGCTTCCATTTAGTTTTTAATAATTTCACGGTTTCTTTTAACATTTAAAAGAGCTGATAGTATTGAACCGATGCAATTTTGTTTAACTACATAAATTTTTTATTAAAGTTAATATAACTCACATACTTGAACGTGACTTAGAAAACAATAGGGCGCATTGGTGGAACTCTTAGAAATACGAAATATGTCGAGTAACACACACTTTGCATTTATTAAGCACATTCTCTATTAACTGCTGGGGAATATAGCAGTGTCTAACCTGAATCCAATAAGAAGGTTGTTATTATTATTATTGTTATTTTTATTTTAAAAAAATAAGCTTAAATTTACCTCCGCCATACTCAGTTGCTTGATAGGCAGCACAAATTACTTCGTAAAAATTTTTAATATAACTAACTTGTGTTCTCAAGTTATTTTATCTTGCTTAAGCAGATGCAGTTCCTCTATTGCACCAATACGAAGAATTTTAAAAATATTAAAGTCTGGATTTTTTTATTACATTAAAATAATCTTTATAATGACTTCTTCCATCAAGCTTCGCTTGGTTTTTCTTTTGTTAATGAATGTCTCTAATATTCGGTTAAAAGTTTCACGGGTCATAAAGTTATATTCAGAGAATATAGGTGAATTTAGATAGAAGGTAAGTACTATTCAAAAGGAATAGTAATATCATTGTCGGCTGATAGGTGTTATGGATAGATTAGTTCTCTTGCGAATCCATAAAGGTTGAGGAAAATATGTAATGAAAGCGGTAAAATTCGATTCGAATATAATGAATAAAAAAAATAAAGTATGAGGCACTAAAAGAATTACTTTTATAAATATCAATGTAAATATCAAATATAAGTGAAAACGGAGAGCATAGTTTACCAACATGTTCAAGGATGTTCGTCTACAAAATCTAGCATTTGGTTGGTGATTCTAAATATGTAAACACGGAAAATTTCTGGTTTGTAGATTGAATCAAGAAAACTATTTAAAGCATTCCATGTGACTAAAAGGTGGCAAAACTTTAATGGCTTAGTGAACCTTTCTATTTTTATGAGCATTTTTAGGACTGTCTTGTGAACTTCCAGTATTGCTTCGATAGTGTATAGTATATGCATAATACAGTTATAGTACTTACAATATTATCCGCTGTAAAAACAGTAAATTGTAATGCTTACACTATTGCAATTGCTGTAATTCTGTTATGTTATTGAAGTATTGCAATAAATGGTTTAGAAGAAGTATGTTATAAGATTAGGAAGGGTCAATGAAAGTTTGAGAAAGAATGCATTGATAGATTAAGGTAAAAGGTATTGTATTTACATATGTTTGGGATCTCCTTTAAATATACTAAATTGTAGTCGGTCCATACCTTTATTTGTTTTATTTTATTTTTATCTATTTCATTTTACTTATTTTATTTTATTATTATTTATGGATATATGCTGCAAGTGGGAACTGGATCTAGTTTAATTATATTTCATGGTGGAGTTTATTTTATATAAACCATATACCCAACCCTAAATGTCCAAATCTATTTAAATCCCATCTTCACTTACAACATATGAAATTGAAATTTGTTGTTAGTTTGTTATAATTTATTTTATTTATTTATTTAATTTATGTTTCTTTGCAAATTTAATTATGACCTGTTCTGCAAGACCTCAACTAAAGGCGCAAGGTTTTTTCACAAATAAAAAAAAAGATTTTAAGCGATGACTTTTTATTCTTGTTATTCATGAAAATTATTCTTAATCGAAGAAGATTCAAATTTAATCATATAGACTTTCAATCGTTTTAAAATGATTAACTAATGAATATATGTATATGTGTGTTCTTTATACTGAATAATTATTGTCGGGATGATGCTGAAATTTGAGGTCTTAATTTGAAAATATGAACTCTACTAGAATCACCTATGCTCTTTATTATAAACACTAAATTATAATCGAACGATTAAAAAAAGCTAAACAAAACACCCAAAAAATTTTTAAATTTTCATAATAAAATAAGTCAAAATTTCAGCATCATCCGATTCAGCACCATCACTGACAATTATTCGAAATTAATAAAATCTTATATAAATAATTTTGATTCTGAGTAAAAAAAAAACTTTTAACTGGGGATTTAATTAGAGTTGCGATATTTTAGAGTATTGATTTAACCTTAATACATAGTTTTATTGTATCGTTAATACTACAGTATAAGTTTCATTGATGAAAAAGCGAATAATGCATGCTAGCAAATCAATAAATAGGAGCAGTTTTAAAAAAAACTATTTAAGATTTCTTGTGACGTATACCATATTCGGTTGGCCTCCCTTGTATTGCATTATTTCAATATTTTACTTACTTTATGTCAAAGGTGGTTTATTGTTAAGGCGAGACAAACTTGATTTGGTGGTTTACATTACATTCCTTTTTCAAAAAGGGGATGAATGGAACGTATACATAGTAAATTTTATTAAATTTTTTTTTCAATCGAAATTATCGGCCTTGCTCGGCTTTTTATGTTTGTTTTTTCATTTTCTCTTCGGAATTTTTCGGATCCTTACAATTTCTAATCTTAATTCCACCCGGCGGCCAAAATCAAATATGTATAGTACAAAATTTTTTTTTACTAAGAGAAAGAGGGGGGGCTCAAAAGGGGGCAATATAAACTACCAAATCAAATTGGTCTGGCCTTACCATTGGTGGGAATGCAAATTTTTACTAAATCACCAGGTTCGTATGTTTGGTTTCGTTTTGTATAATACTTTGCTTCCATTTAGTTTTTAATAATTTCACGGTTTCTTTTAACATTTAAAAGAGCTGATAGTATTGAACCGATGCAATTTTGTTTAACTACATAAATTTTTTATTAAAGTTAATATAACTCACATACTTGAACGTGACTTAGAAAACAATAGGGCGCATTGGTGGAACTCTTAGAAATACGAAATATGTCGAGTAACACACACTTTGCATTTATTAAGCACATTCTCTATTAACTGCTGGGGAATATAGCAGTGTCTAACCTGAATCCAATAAGAAGGTTGTTATTATTATTATTGTTATTTTTATTTTAAAAAAATAAGCTTAAATTTACCTCCGCCATACTCAGTTGCTTGATAGGCAGCACAAATTACTTCGTAAAAATTTTTAATATAACTAACTTGTGTTCTCAAGTTATTTTATCTTGCTTAAGCAGATGCAGTTCCTCTATTGCACCAATACGAAGAATTTTAAAAATATTAAAGTCTGGATTTTTTTATTACATTAAAATAATCTTTATAATGACTTCTTCCATCAAGCTTCGCTTGGTTTTTCTTTTGTTAATGAATGTCTCTAATATTCGGTTAAAAGTTTCACGGGTCATAAAGTTATATTCAGAGAATATAGGTGAATTTAGATAGAAGGTAAGTACTATTCAAAAGGAATAGTAATATCATTGTCGGCTGATAGGTGTTATGGATAGATTAGTTCTCTTGCGAATCCATAAAGGTTGAGGAAAATA